TTGGGGACGGAAAGGGCTGGACGTCCATCCTTTTCCTGAAATCATGTATCCATGGCTTTGTCCCACCTTCCACCAAAAATCTTCCTGCCACTCCCTCTACCTTCCCTATTTTTTGGGAGATGCTTGTCTCTAGCTTTTAGTTTACAGGCAAGTCCAGGACTGTTTGGAGACTTCCAGCTGTTAATCTCAGAAGGGGGTGTGTTGGAGTAAGAGTCCTGAGTGGCAGGAAGGGTGATGGGTATATGACAGGAACAGGGAGGGCAGGGAGGGAGTACAAAGTACTTTGTGGTTTTCTTCTCTTCTGAGAAAGCAGGAGACATGCCTTTTGGCTTCCTGAGAATACTGGGGAGCTCTTGGCAATGGAATTGGACATTCTTATAGCCAATTCCAACTTAGTTCAGGAGTTTATATGGTAGCTGAGGCAGTCCTGACATGGGGCAGAAATGCACATGCTCCCTGGTGACCAGCATCACTGGTGCTTGCTAGTTTGGGCCCATTAGGTCAGTTAGTTGGAGCATGCATCTGTCCATCTGTCCACTTAGCACCTTTTGAGCATGTATAGCACACCAAGCACTGGGCTAAGGACTAGGTATCCAGGGATCTAAGGTATGTCCCTGCCTTCAAAGAATGCAGCCTTGCGTGGATACTAGACCACAGATACTTACAAACTGTGTGGTAAGTGCTAGGAAAGAGGTGGAAGAACAGAGAAGGTTTCCTGGAGAAGGCGATAGCTGAGCTGAGTTTTTAAGCATAGATAGGACTTAGCCAGTCAAAGAAGGGAGAAAGCCATTCCAGGAAGAAGAAAAGACTCCAAGAAAGTGCATGTCTGTAGTTCAGTATGGTTGGGCTAGGAGGAGAGGAGAGGAGGAGGAGGAGAAATGGCAGAAAAGAAAGTGGTAATGATGAGATGGAAGAGGTGGACAGGAACTGGATCGCAAAGGGCCTGTGAGACATGCTAAGTAAGACTTCCAGTTATGAAGCCAGAGGGGAGGCACAGCAGGGGCTGGAGGTGGGGGCGTGTGTGGAGTGTTCAAGCTCCTCAGAGCAACACAGAAGGTACCACGTGCTTGGCCGAGATGGGCGGCCTGCCTCTGAGCTTATGTGGCTCACCAAGGAGAGGGAGCTGGTCTCCTAACGTCTCCCTTCAGGCAGAGCTGTTGTCAGGAAGGCAAGGAATGCCACCAGGAGGACAGGCCCAGACCCTAGGTTCCGTACGAGGGCCCATGCATGGCCACCTCAGCAATCAGCAGGACCACAGGGTATGTATTTAGGGTAGGGGTCTAGGACTCCAAGCATAGCTGTCAATGAATTTTGCATTCTGAGGCAGACAAAGGCAGCCATTCTTGAAAACCCAATTTTATTTCTTTTCTTTTAAAATTAATATTATTATTATTTTTACATTCTATGATGTTGCAGACATGGACAGTTGGGAGGGAGAGGGAGAGGGAAAAGGGGAAGGAAATGGGATGGAAGAAGGAGGGAGGAGGAGGGCGGGATTGAGGCCTGTGGCACCCCCACATTCCCACAGGGGAGACTGGGGGGCTTCCAGCAGTGTCTTGGTCATTGCCAGGCCAGTTGCAGATGTCAGGGGGGTGTGGAAAAGCCCTCGCCCCCCACCACACCTGCTTGGGAGAGCCTGGGGTACTTCCTGCAGTGGCTTGGTGGTCATCGCTGGGCTGGATGCATGAGTCAGGCAGGCATGGCTGAGGCCTGAAGCCCCCCACCGCACCAGCTCGGGAGAGCCCGGGGCACTTCCTGCGGCTGCTCAGTGGTCATTGCTGGGCTGGTAGCAGGTGTTGAGGACCCGATTTTATTTCATATCAGAGTGAGTGCACACAATAGCCAAGATGAGGAAACAACCTAAATGTCTATCCATGGGTGATTAGATAAAGTGTGGTATACACATACAGTGGAATGTTATTCAGTCCTAAAAAAAGAAGGAAAACCTGTCATATTGAGGACATTATGCTAAGTGAAATAAGCCAGTCGCAGAAAGACAAACACTGCACGATTCCACTTTCATGAGGAATCTGAAATGGTAAAAGTCATAGAAGCAGAGAGCAGAATGGTGGTTGCCAGGGGCTGGGGAGAGGGGAGCAGGGAGTTGCTACCAATGGGCAGCAAGTGTCAGTCAAGCAAGATGAAGTTCTGGGCACCTGTGGTGCAGCGTTGTCCTTGTAGTCAACAGTGCTGTATTATACACTGAAAAATTTGAGAGTAGATCTCATGTTAAGTGTTCTTATCACAATGAAATAAAATTAAAAAAAAGAAAGGAAAGGGCAAATAAAGAAAGAAAAAAGGCGAGTGCTGTAGAAGCCACTCTTGGAAACTGCTCGTCTGGGGCGCTTGCTCTTAGCACCCCAAGGTCCTGTGTGCTCGGAAGCTGGTTTCTGGCTGTGGCTCTGTTTCTGCTCACCCTGGGGATGGAGGCCAGGCCTCGTCCAGGAGGAGCACAGCACTAAATCTGAGAAAGATGGAGACAGGGTCTGACAGGCCCGCAGATGGGAACTGCTCGAGGCAGCCCGCCGTGCTCAGCAATTCAGTATCTAGGACTGCATGCACATTTCCAAGAGGGGATGGGGTGAGTTTCGAAAAGGCACATTCAGTAGTGTATGGCTTTATGTTGTTTATGCTTATAATATGGAAAAATGCCTGATGCTTCATGCAAAAACACACACGAGATATTTATGTTTATTAGAAGAGAGGGAAAAAAGGAAAAAGGAGGAGGAATGGGCTTAAAAATTCCTGGTCTGGGTGCTTCCCTCCTTAATCCCCTGAAGGCTGCTGGCCCTGACCTGCCTGGCAGTTCTGCCTCCGACCTAAGGACACAAGACTTCAAGCTCCAGCTGCTTGCTTCCACTGGAGCCGCAGCCTTGAGCACCGCATGGTGCTGGCCACAGGCAGGGAGAGCACAGCTGAGCCCTGCTCCTGCGGGAGGTTAGGGTTGGTGCCCTCTCCTCAAATCACAGGTTGAAGGATTTTTACAGACAATAAAAACTAGGATGTTTATAATGTTTTCAATATCAGTGTGTCCTTAGGGAAGGGACCTTTTTTTTTTAAATCTTCTCTTTTAGGTATAATTTAGAGCTGGGAAAAGTTTTTAAAAAATATTCTTTCCAAAATGTGCTTTTTATTTTGAGCTCATATTAGCTTCACCATACTTGGTTTTGATGGGAATGAAAGGTTTGGACTACTTTTGGTAGTTATGTTACCTGGAGGCTGAACGATTAATCAAAAGACTGATAAGATGGACCAAGAAATAGTTTAGAAATCAAGAAAGGGGGTAGGGGGAAGGGGAAAGAGAGAGAGCAGCACGTGTACAGCGAGGTGGCTGGAGGGGGTTACCAGTCTCACTGGTGTAAAGCCCTCCCAGGTCTTCTGATTAGATTTAGCACAGCACTGACTCTTAGCTGCGCTGGGCCTGCAGCGCGGCCTGGCTGGCCTCTCGTCCTCCTTGCATACTCCTTTCCCTCCCACTGTTATGTTCTAGGTCGAGCTCGTGCCTGTCCCAGGACCTCCAAGCCAGCTGCTCCTTCAGCCTAGAATGTAATTCCCCATCTTCTGTGGCTGGCCCCTGCTTGTTCATTTAAATGTCACCTTCTCAGAGACCACCCACCCTAAAGCAGCTGCCCATTCACGCTCTGCCACAGCACCGCTTTTATCTCAGCCGAGCAGCTGATCACTCTGATATTTTGCTGGCTTCCTTCTGTGCTGCCTGTCTCACCCCACCCAACAAGAATTTAATTCTGTGAGAGAAGGAGCATTTTCTGTCTTTTTCACTGCTGTATTCCCAGAACTTAGAAAACTGCCTGGCACATAGTAGGTGCTCAATAATATGTGTCAAGTGAATAAACAGCTAGGAGGATGGGTGGATAGATGGATGGATCTCTAATATGATATACAGAGCGATGTCTTGATAAGATCTGTTTATCTGGCACACACCAGAGGGTCTACTGACTACTGCAAGACTAAATATAGGGCTGTATCTAGCCGTCAAGTTCACTGTGGCGCTTTTTTGTAACTGGGTCCTACAGCACCCTGGCCAGGCCCAAGGGACTTGGAGCACTGTGTGGACAGACCCTGGGCAGTCACTCCTCTTCTACGATGGAGGAACAGAGACACGGGGCAGCTAGAGATTGGATAGCACATCTGGAACAGGGCTGATGAAGAGAATTAGGAAATCCAGGCCTCCTAAGTATTGGCCTTGGCTTTGGAATTCAGGCAGAGTTGTGGTCGCAGGCACGAGGTTAAAGAAGCCATATCCAATCCCTCCTACATCCTCTCAGGGTCTGGCAATTAAAGCCGGACACCCGCTGAGGCCAGTGGGAAACAGTCTCCCTTGGGGACAGTGGGAAGAAGGAACTGGGAGGATGTCTGAGCAGTGCAGAAAAGAAGGTGTCCCCCCCTGCCCACCACCACCCAGCCCACCACCTGTCAGGCATGGAGGTTTTGGTTTGGCATCAACTCTCACATCTCAGCATGCCCCTGGTGTAAGCTCCATGCTGGGTTCTGGGGACATCTGAGGAAAAGGGCACAGTCCCTGGCCTGGAGGAGAGATATGTAACCATATGACTGCACTACAGAGTCAGTGTGGTAATGGAGGCTGATAAAGTGCTGCAGGGACTCAGGGAGGGCTTGTGAGGGAGGCTTTACATAGGAGCTGACACTTGGGCCACATCTTCCCTTACAGCTGGGAAAAAGCCCTGACCCAGACAGCAGCCCAGCAGCGGGGACATCCGAGGAGTGGGGTGTCAAGGAGGTGGGGCATGTGGAAGGGATTGTAAGAAGTCGTCTGGTTAAAGTTTGGGAGCAGGGTGTGGACCTGCAGGAGGTGAGGCTGGGACGTGGGAGTTATGTGGAGGGCAGCAGGGAGCCACAGTTTTGGGGGATCATCCTGATGGTGCTATGAAAGTGGGATTGGAGGGGACAAGGCAGTTGTCATTGTGAAGGGTGATGAGTGCTTGGACTGTAGGGGAAGGGAGGGGTGATTTACCAAAGCTTCCGTAGTGAAACCTATAGGGTTTCAAGACTTAGTCGCAGGGAGTAGAAGAGAGCGTCGTCTGCCCCTTCTCTGGCCTCTAGCCTGATGTAGTGGCAAAAAAGCAGTGCTGCCCAAGTCTAAAAATAGGCAAAGTAGACAGTAGAAGGAGGTATCTGTGGAAACATCTGTAGCCAGTATATGGGAAGGGGCGCCCTGCAAATATGTTAGGATAACAGCTGCTCTCAATGGACATTTGCTGGTTGATTGAGTTGTCCCCTTGGTTCCTCCCACTTGGGCTCCAGGAGGCAGCGCTCCCCTTAGATCTGCCTTCCCATGGCACTCATTAGCATTTTCAGTCCTAGAGGAAGATTTCTAAGATCCCAGCTGTCAGAGTCTTCTAGGGCAGGCCACCCCTCTCCTTGCTCCACCCCCCAAGGAAGGTCAACTTTTAAGGGAGTTGGGATGGGCTGTGTGAACTTCCTGGCCCTTCCTGTGGTCCCCCAAGGAGAGACCGGCTGTATTGTGGCTTCATCCTTCCTGCCCAGCGTGGTTGCCTGTTGATGGCTTTGCAAGGAAGAGGCTGGAATGTGGCTGACTTGGCATTTCCCAGCCCCACCCGCACAGCTGGTGGAGCCTGGACCCAACTCCAGATGGGGCTCAGTTGGTCTGCTTGGCTTGGCTGGTGTCTCCAGGCCGTCCCACCTTACCTTCTCTAAAACTGCTTAGGACAGCAGAACTGGGCCCAAGATCTTGGCCAGAGCAGGTTTCCTTGTGGTAAATGGGGCTGGCTCTCTAGCTGTGCATTGCAGCCAAGGCTGGCAGGGTGCAGGCTGTAGAAGCAAAACTGAAAGTGCTGCAGGAATGGGAAGCAGGTTTCCTTGTGGTAAATGGGGCTGGCTCTCTAGCTGTGCATTGCAGCCAAGGCTGGCGGGGTGCAGGCTGTAGAAGCAAAACTGAAAGTGCTGCAGGAATGGGAGGCCCCTTCACCTCTGAAATTGGGAGAAGGCTCAGTGGGGCCAGTTCAGGGAGGGACTCGGCTCCAGTGGGTTTTCTCTTCCCTGGAGGTGGGCGCCAACAGGAGAACCACTGCAAGAGCCCAGAGGCATGGCAGCATCAGTGCTGTATGAAGCACGGTCTTCCAAAACCTGGAATTTGGTATCTTTTGGGTGTGTCTTTCCACACCAACTCCAAGGAAACTTGGATATTCTACCTACCCAATGAGTCCTTTCATGCGAAGTAGAACTTCACCTATGGCGAGGTCCATAGAGTGGACCAGCAGTGCTGTTACAGTCATCGTAAGAGGCCATTGCACCTTCTAATTTGGGTCCCCAGCCCTTGTCTGATGAGCAGCTTTGAATCCTATAGTCCTGATCTCCAGTGGGTGTGTATGTGTGTATGTGTGAGAGAGAAGTGAGTCTGATGCCCATGTAAGCCCGGAGCTGGAAGTGCAAGTTGCAAGAGCTAAAGGGGTCCGTGGGGTATGGCTTTGAGGTCAGGTATAAATGTGGGGTGGGAGAAACTCTGGGGAAGGCTATCCTGCCCCACCCCTATCCAGCACTCTCCCAGGAAAAATCTCGGACTCTGCTCAGTTAACAGAGGCCTCTCATGTTTTCTCTCACACGTGCTCCCTGCTGGTTTGGCTATACCAGGACTCCCAATAGATCTCAGTCTTAACCAGAGCTCATATAAAGCATGGTAGGTGCCCTGCTGTCAACTCGCCTGCAACTTGAGGCTGTTGCCAAGCCAGAAACTTGATTTACAGAGTTTCAAATCAGATGCCTTCAATAGTTTTCTTTTTTCTATTTTGTTTTGTTATAAATATGGAATCTACTCCTAAACCCCTTCCAACTATTGTCTTTTGTCTCACTCCATCTTCTTCCAGAAGCAACTGCTTAGAAACATTCTTCTGGGGTCATGGCCAGAGTCTCCATCCCCCTTGACTAAGCACTTTTTACCTGAGTCCATGGACTTTGGATGGGCATTAGGGAGTCCGTTAATCCCATAAAATCTGCAGACTTCTGTGTGTGGTGCATTTTTCTAGAGAGAAGGTCTATAGCTTTGTTTAGTTTCTCAGATGGGTCTGTGATTCCCCATGGACCCAAAGCTAAGAATTTCTTGCTATAAATGCACTTGGAGTTTGACCTGGCCAACGTTCTGGGTTCCAAAATATGACCCTTGCACTGTCCAGCTTCACACGTAGAACTGGGCCTCTGCTGCTTAGGGGGCATTTCTGGGAGTCAAAGGAGTTCAGAAGCTGGCTGGGAAAAAGGGAGGGCGGCGGCAGGACCCTCAGGCCCCACAGGGCAAGCTATGGATGTGGCAGTGTTACAGGGAGCCCAGAGGCACTGCGTGACAGGCTCTGGGACCTCTCCCAAGGAGGGTGTGTGCATGTCTCAGCCTAGCTGCTCACCTGGGGCACGGCTGTGGTGAAGGCGGCAATGGAAGTTGTGGCTGCTCTGTGTTGTGAGGTCCTGATGGGAGTGAAAAGAGCAGAAATGTGGGGGCAGGGAGGGAGAGGCAGATAGGAAGCAGGGAAAAGGGAGCTGGAGCCAGAGGAGGACCACTCTGTGGCATTAGAGTTCTTGCTGCAAAATAGCCCAGAGGAAGGTGGGGAGCTCTATCAATGGAGCCGCTGAAAGCTGGGCTGCAGGGAGCCCAGGAAGGGGAGTGAGTTTGCTGGCTTATTCATAGGGGAGGGGTCAGAGATGGTCCCCTCCCTTCTGGAAAACTCAGCAAACCCAAGAGAAGAGAGAGGGCACTGGCAAGTGCCTTGAATCTTTTTCTTACCAGGTACAGCTTCAGAATGTGCTGGCAGGCTCTGATCTCCTGGTCTAGGATCCCTGTGTGACAGTGAGCCCCTCCGCCCCAGCTCCTGACCCATGGTGGTCATGTACTCTCTCCCAGTGCCCTGCACACTAACTTTTTGAATGTATGGGATGCCCACCCTCAACCTTATTCCTCTTCCCAAGGGACATTGCCCAGGAATTTGAACACAAGGGCCTAGACCACATTCACTCAGTGCAAAGCCCTGGGGACAGGAGTCACGGGACTGATGGGACTCCATTCTTCTGACCAGGAATCTCAGTCATCCTCTCTGGAATAGACCCATCATGGGCTTTAAAAATTGTAAATATTTGTTTTCACCCTAACTCAGTTTTGGAAAAAAATGGGAAATAAAGAGAGTGGGCAGGCAGGCCATTGCATGCAGTTAGTTACACAGGTAGACATTGGTCTTACAACTTACGGTCACCACAGATATGTGGGCTGTGCTAGACGTGGCCACTACTGTGCCTCTGGACACCAGGGAGTGTTCTGGGTGACTCTAGTCCAGAGTTTCTTAGCAGAATCGCCTAGGGGTGCTGGTTAACATGTGGTTTCCTTACGGTCACCACAGATATGTGGGCTGTGCTAGACGTGGCCACTACTGTGCCTCTGGACACGAGGGAGTGTTCTGGGTGACTCTAGTCCAGAGTTTCTTAGCAGAATCGCCTAGGGGTGCTGGTTAACATGTGGTTTCTGGGCCCACCCCAGACCTCTGGACTGAAAACCACAGGCTGGATAGACTCGCCCCTAGTAGGTTGGAATTTGCAGTTTCAGAATCTCTGCTTATTTCTTCTCAATTGCCTTTTTTTCTTAATTCCTACTGCACTTGGTACCCAACAGTAATGGACTGTGAGGATGTCACACTTCACATTTAATTGTCACTGCTTGTTTCACGTTCTGGCTCTGTCTCACAGAGACAGTGAGCAGCTTGAGGCTGGGTAGCCCTCTTCTGTGGATGCCCTCCCAGGACCTGTCTCACCCTGGATGTGGTGGGAACTGAGAGCACCCTTTCCCACAGTCATGTCCATCTGAGCATGCATGGTTATGTGTGAACGGCAGCTTGTCTGGCAGTGAGCATAGGCCAGGAGAAGGACAATTTGGATTCCAGCTGTGGTTTACTCAGGCGAATCAAGTCTGGCCAGGGTGTCTCCAGCGCCTCCTTTGTACAAGAACATTCCCAGCTATGGTAGAGTGTGAGGCATGTTCCAGTAATGAGGATCACCACTTGGGGAGCACTGAGAAAAGAATTGTCCAATCTCCAGACTCATGTTGGAAGGGATGGTCTGATGCTTCCGCAGGCTGGGCAGCTCCGGGAGGCCTTGGATTTGGAGGAGCCATTTCTCCTGACCATTGGCAGCCACATGAGTGCCCTGGCATCTGGCCATCTGGCAGAGAATCACGGGGGGCTGATGGTTCCTGCAGGATCCTGAGTGTTGTTCTCTGGGGTGGGGGTGTCTGTCCGTGACCCAGGTTCTCAGAGCCAGACCCCAGCCACACCCTGGAGGAGAGAGTGGTGCACTGGTACTTCAGCCAGCTGGACAGCAACGGCAGCAGCGACATTAACAAGCGGGAGATGAAGCCCTTCAAGCGCTACGTGAAGAAGAAAGCCAAGCCCAAGAAGTGTGCCCGGCGGTTCACCGACTACTGTGACCTGAACAAGGACAAGGTCATCTCACTGCCCGAGCTGAAGGGCTGCCTGGGTGTTAGCAAAGAAGGTGAGTGCTCTGCCCTGTGCCTCTGGCCTTTTGGTACTTGCTCCACCCAGGCCCAGGGGTCAAGTGCTCTCCCAACAAGTGAGATCCCAGGTAGTCATTTATTCAACAACTGTTGACTGGGAGTGTGCTGTGCTGCATGCCAGATGCCGGGCAGGTGGTGGAACCGACCATCCTTATGCAGTCTGCCAGGAGATGGATATGAAATAAGTACTCACACGAACTGTGATAAGTGCTGTGAGAACGTGTGAATTAGGGGAGGCTGGGCTGCAGTAATGAGCAGACCCACATGTCTCATGACTCAACACAGTGGAAAAATTTTGTATTGCCCATTCAGCATGGTTCCAGGTTGTGATGTGTGTGTGTGTGTACGCGCATGCATGCACGTATGTGGGGGAAGGAGTAGGGGTGGGGCTTGCTCTATGTAGTCATTCTGGGATCCAGGCTGAGAGTGACCCTACCATCTTCATCACGTGGCTTCCCAGGTCACCCTGGGGGTCATCTCCATTCCCAGGCAACCAGGTGGAGTAAACACAGAGCAGTGCATGAGAGGGAGATTATAGGCCAATCCTGGAAATGACACACATGACTTCTCATATGTCACTGTCCGGAACTCAGTCACTAACCCATACCCAACTGTAGGGAGGCTGGGACTCTGTGAAGAGGAGGAGAGCATGGATTTTGGTGAACACCTAATAGCCTCTGTCACAGCAGAGCAAGTGCAGAGTATTATACGACTCATGTAGGAACACCTAGATCACTAAGGGCAGATGGCCTTGGAAAAGTTTGTGAAGGAAGTGACAGCTAAGCCGGGGCTCAGCAGACCGTGGCCCACATTCCCAATCTGGTCCACAGCCTGTGAGCTAAGAATGGTTTTTGCATCTTCAAAGGGCTGTCATTATTTTTTTTTTATGAAGAAGAAATGTATTCAACAGGGACTGTACATGGTCCCTCAAGTCTAAAATATTTACTGTTTAGTCATTTGCAGATCAATTTGCCAATCCCTAGCCTAAACCAACACCCGAGGCATGAGCAGGAGACAGCCAAGCAGAGAGGTCAGGGGAGCGAAGCGTGTTCTAGCCTGTTTCAGAGGAACTGGAAGACATTACTGTGGCTGAAGTGCATATTTTAAGGGGGTGATGGGGGGCAGTAAGATAGGGTTGGAGAGCCTTTTAATCCAGGTGAAAGAGTTTAGACTTTACAAGGCAGTGGAAAGCTGTTCCAGGGTTTCAGTCGGAGAAATGGTAGGGTCACTTTTGCTTAAACAATGGTTCTGGCTGCATTGTGGGAAATGGACTGGAGATGAGCAAGACTGAGTCACCCAGTCGCAGGCTTGCCATAGTCCAGGCGAGAGGGATGGAGGCCGAGCTATGAGAAACAAAAGCACAGGGGGATGCAGAGAACTGGGCGGTTGGTGACTGAGCGGACACAGAGACAAAGGTGGGTTTGGGCAACTGGAGGGTGGCACGTTCACTGAGATGGGCAGTGTAGAAGGAAGAGCAGAGCAGGCGCAGGGGGCAGGGGGACCACACACATTTACACACACACGTGCGGAGACACAGGCGCAGACACGTCGAGTTGGAGGTGCCTGAAGCATTAGTGGATCTGAAGGGCAGCTGAAGGGTCTGGGCTGAAGATATGGATTTGGGCGATGCTGACTTACTTGAAACGGAAGCTTTGGAAAAGCCCAGATTACCTAGGGAGAGGGCATGAGAAGCGTAAGAAGACAAAGGGCTTTTTCCTTGTTCCTCTGCTGTCAGCGCAAACCCAAAGATGGCATGAGAAGCCACAGGGAACCCAGCCTTGGGACCTGCCCCCGTAGCTGGGTTCTGGCCCTGGTTCTGAGGCCGAGTGTGACTCTGGGTGAGTCACCTCCTCACTCTGGGATGCCTGTCGGAGGGGGATGCCTCTCTGTGTTCTCTCTACTCTGAGGACACAGCACAATGTCATGGTCCCAACCCTGCCTCTGCCGTGGACTAGCTTTTACCATATGCAGTTCAAATTACCCAACCATTGTGATTCTAGTTTCTTTATCTATAAAATGGGAATAATTGTAGTGTCCGCCTCATAGGGCTGTTGTGCTGATTAAATGGGACAGTGAGTGAAAGCATTTATCACAGTGTCTGAGACACTGAAAGAACTCCGTAGAAGTTCAGTATTCCTATTCTTCATAAGATCATTGCCTCTCTCGGTAGCCCTTACCACACCGTGTTGTGATTTACTTTTCTGATCTCCTTGAAGCCACGGACTCTGTCTTCTCAATCCCTAACCTCTCGTACAGTACATGGCACCTAGTTCATTAAGTCCTTGTCAAGTGAATGAGTGAATGAATGACTGGATGGGGGTAATCCTGTGGCAGTGTCATGCTCTGACACAGTTGGGATCTGCTCATTTCGCACAGCACAGGCAGTGGGCCAATATTGGAAAGAAACCATCCAGTTGTTAGTGTGGGCTCCAGACCCACCCGGGAGCACTACTGTGCTGAGTGGGGCAGGAGTCACAGAGGTCTGCACCCACCCTGACCTTGGTTCCTTCCTGTGCTGGTGGTTCTGGTCTGCACAGCACACAGAACCAAGGGAGGGCCAAGGGTGGTGACGTCAGGTCCACAGAGCTCAGGGTGCCTTCCTAACCGTCCTCTGAAGTCTCGGGCACCAGGTGTCTGCCAATCCCAGCTGATGCACAGGATCTGAAGGAAGTGTCCAGGGAAAACTGTGAGCTGGAGTGCTTAGGGAGCACTGGTCATCTGGATGTTCTTCCTCAACCCAGACTCAGCTGGGCACGGGTTTCAGTTTCAAGTTAGCATCATGGCTTTGGCCCACAGAGGCCCCTAGAGTGCTTTGGAATGCCATTGTTATCTTTCTTGGCCCTCCCTACCCTCGTGACTAGGGAGACCGAGAGCTTTGGGATTACTGTTGATCCCTGAACACACTGCCTGGTTGCAAGTCTGGCTGGAGCACCTGTGTCTGTGCACGTGTCTGTATATGTAAATGATTGATTGTCTGTGTGAGCACGAGCACACACACCTGTCTGTGTCTCTGCGTGCCTGGTGTGTGCATGTGCACACAAGCGTGTATGTCTGTAATATGTCTTTAAGCAATCTATGTGTGCATATCTGTACATACGTGTGCGTGCATTATGTGTATGTCTGTGTGTGTCTTTACATGTGTCTGTGCATGTGTGTGTGGTGAAGTAAGGGAGAGTGGAGCGTTGAGATAAAGGGAAGAGGCTGTCTAAGATTAATCAATGGGGTGGGGTGGAGTGGGCAGGAATAGATGCTACTGGGGGCAGGGCACCACCCACAATCTGAGGATGGACCACTGTAAGCCCACAGTTTCCAGGCAGGTGGTGCCCACAGGAGAGTGGACCACTATGGAGAGGCCTAGGAGACCCGTGGGGGACCAAGATCTAGGTGCAGGTGGGGCTGTAGGTGAGAGCAGAGGCCCTGACGTCAGACGGACCTGGCTTTTAATCCCACCTCTGCCACTTACTAGCTCTGTGATCTGTGGTAAGTTACCTAAACTCTCTGAGCCTCAGTTTCCTCATCTGCAAAATGGAGATGATAGTGCCTACCTCATAGATTTGGTGCGAGCATTTCACAAGATAATGCGTGGGAAGAACTTAGCACAGTACTGGTGCATAGTGAAGGCACAGAAGAAAGGAGTAGTAGTAGAGGAGCCCCCACGGGCTGGAGACCTGACCGGCAGCCCCCTGCATCCCTCTGCTCTGCGGGCGGCAGAAGAGCCACGTGGGCAGATGGTTTGTATCCGCTCCAGGGAACGAGCCAGTGCGCTGGTCAGCTGGTATCACGTGGTGCCCTCTGGTGGGCTGAGAGAGGCTTGCATGCTGCGGGGGCAGAAGGGGTGGGGGTGTATGTGGAGCTTGGGGATGAGTATAGTTTTGGGTCTGAGGCACCAAATTTTTGGAAATGCCACATGAACACAGCTAATTTTACCAACGAGACTCCTCACTGGAGAGCTGAATTCTCTGCAAAGCATGAAAAAGTCAGACATTCTGAGTGCTGGGGCCTCTTTCTTAACTGGCCTTTCAAATTTATAAAGCACCTTCATCGGTATTATTGTTACCATTCTGCAAGGAAGGCTGGGTGAGGACCAGTGCCTCCATTTTCCAGAAATGCCAACTCTTCCTTCAGCTTGTCTGGGGATGCCCCTGCACTGGGTTCAGGCTCTTTCTCCCCGTCCTCCCTGGTGGTCAGAGCATAGTTCTGGAGGCAGATGGCTGGGTCTGGATTTGCTTCACCATCTGAAAGCTGTGCCATTCTGGGCAGATCATTTGGCATCTCCAAGCCTCAGTTTCACCATCATAAAATGGGGGTAATTTTTATCACCCTCCTGTGAAGTTGCTCTGAGGATTCAGTGATAGGAGTCAGGTAATGGGAGCAGCACGTAAGCCTCTGTGAAAAGTGTTTGGCCACCACTGGCCGCACATCTTGTTCCCTAGGCCTCGGCTTGCTGGGCAGGACGCTGTAGGCTCCCCTTCACGTGTGTAGATAGATCTTTCTGCTCACCACTGACAGAAGCAGCTGCAGCAGGGAGCAGAGGAAGGTTGGGGTTTGAAGCCAAGCAGCCTGGCTCTGCCGCTTCCACCTGCCCGCATTGGGCCTGCCACTCGATCTTCTGAGTTTCGTCCTCATCTGTAAAGCTGGATATACCTATATCTACTCCGTGTCCACCCCACCTGGCATTCTACCTCTCTCTCTCAGGTTTTAAGGAATGTTGGCATCACCAGGGGGGTGTCGAGCTGTGGGCTCACATGGCCAACAGGTGGGCTTGGACTCCACAGCACTTTATACTCCTCAGAGCCCTCCCTCCTCCTCCATGAATTCAGTCGGTCCTCCAGGCAACCCTGTGAGGGAGGCAGAGAGAGGCTGCCTGGCTGTGGTCCTCATGCCCACCCTAGAGACCGACCCAGAGAGGTTCAGAGGCAGGCACAGTCTCACAGCTTCCAAAGGTCCCATGGAGCCAGTCCAGCTTTTGGTGTGTTTGTCCCTAGTTCCCTGCTCCTCCTTCAGGAGACTTGGGCCCTGCAGGAGCAGGCATGGCCCATCTCCAGAATTGCTCAGCACCCTAGGAGGAGTGGGTGTTAGCAGAATGAGCCTTGGACCCTGTGTGAGTCACTCAGCTGCTCTGGGCCTCTGCTTCCAGATTTGTCAAGGGGCTGGACCAGATGATGGCTAAGATTCCTTCTACCTCTGACATTCTGTGACTTGGAGAACCAGGACCCAAGAAGGTTATGCAAATGTCCATCAGCACCAAAATGCTTCTTAGAGAATAGCTGAGGGGATTCCAAAGAGGCATCCCAGCAGTGGCCTGGCCCTAGGGAAAAGGGACTTGGTCTGAAGGTGTTGGCCAGCAACGGTTTCACCCAGGCAGAACAGGGGTACAGACACCCACAGGACCAGAAGCATGGCCACGCAGCTTCTGGCTCTTTTCCAAGCCCATTCTTCATTCTGGGGTTTAGAGGAGACAGGAACCCACGTACAGAAGCTCTACCAGTTCCCTGGGTCAAGGCCACTTGGGTGTCATATGTTCCTATTTGTTGCAGGTGATAGCCCTGGCAGCTTCCCCCAGGGAAAACGAGCAGGTGCAAACCCAGTAAGTTGTCTTTTTTCTGGGCTCCCCACTTTCCTCTATGGACCCTCTAATGAAGCTTTGATAGTGCAGCAGGGATGAAGGGATTGGCCAAGTTATTGAGGCTCCCATTCTTAATTTTTTTGCTGAAGACATAAGAGAAAGATTGGGTTCATGTAAGAGGATCCTGCCATCTCCACCTAAAAACAAACATCTGCCATTTCTGCCGCAGACCCAGGCTGAAAGGCTGGCATCTGGGAGTAGGATGATTTATGCGGAGTCCACACCCCCCAACCTGTGCTTACTAGGCAAAGCCGAGTTCTCTGGAATGCCAAACTAATTTCACTTGCCATTGTGGTGCCTCAGAGTAGCAAAGGACGGGCTGGTAAAAAGTGCTTATCTGCAAGTCTATCTACCTGCGCCCCACCCAGCCCATATCTACCAGCAGGTGGAAGAGGCTGCAGTTGTGGGGAAATTGACATATGTAGTTGGATTTCTTATAAACCCAATTGTAACTTCTTGCTTACACCCCCACTTGTATTTGTACTCTCTTTCCCCGTCAGTAGGACGCCTCGTCTAAGGAGCAGAAAATCAAAGGGCAAGTGAAGAGTCCAGGGAGACAGGACGGACCATCAGACACCCAACCTTCAGCGTTGCCCACTGCCCAGCCACATCCCATGTAACATACGTGGTGCCCACCATGTTTGCACTTTTAATAACTGTTATTTGCGTGTTTTGTTTCTGATTTCATTTTTAAACGCCGATATCTCATACCACAGTGGGAAAAGAAAAGGGAAGAAAGACTGTGTATTCGCTCATTGTAAGTTTTTGGATCTGCTACTGACAACTTTTAGTTTTTTGGGGGAGGGAGGAGAGGGTGTTGTTGGGACTGAGAAGAAAGAGATTTATATACTGTATATAAATATATATGTAAATTGTACAGTTCTTTTGTACAGGCATTGGCATTGCTGTTTGTGTATTCGCCTCCTGCTCCCTGCTGTGGGTTGTGGGTACTCTGGACGCATGGTCCAGCTTCTAGAACCCAGGATTCTACCCCCAGTCCACTGGGATTCCATCTGGAGACTGAGTCCTGTGCATATATGGATGAGAGCTCTGCGATTGTGTTGCAGCCTTCATCGGTTCTTTCCTGGTGGGAGACGGGTGCTGCCCTGTGTCATTAGCTGTCCAGGTTGGCAGGTCACTTGGCCCTTGGCCTCTTGAGGGGGGTTGGGTTAGGGAGAGAGGGGAGCTGCCCCTGGAGGGGAGGAGCATCCAGCCAGCACAGGCACCAGTTCTCGCCTGGCTCGTGTGTTCCTGCTCCCCAGACCCCAGGGGACCCAGTGTCTTAGTGAGCCATGGAGCAAATTAGCACAGGGATTTGCATTAGGCCCGTTTAAACATTTTCATTCATGTTTAGCATCTACTCTGTGTAAAGCATGGGAGTGGAAAGAGAAGAAAAAGACACCCAGTAGGGCCTTTCCTCTGGACGTTTAATGTCTAAGCAGTGCAGCGAAGAGGACAGCCAGCCCACACTGAGTGCAGCGCCCGCAGGAGAACTTCTCACCACCAGGGAGACCCCTTGTTCATAGCTCTCTCTCAGCCCGGGCTCATGCTGGGCAAAACTCTGCTGTCCTCAGTCTCCCACTGCCGGCCTTGGAGGTCATCACAAGCCCAAGGGAGGAGTTGGGTCAGTCACCTTGTTGGTGCCTCAACAGTTGTTCTATTGTGTGTTTTTAAACCCTATACTGAAGTTCCTCCTGTTCCCTCAAATTTTCTTCTGGGCTTCCAGGCGTTAGGCCCATTTCACAAGTAAACCTGATCTTGGGTCTCCTACTTCTGCCTCCCCCAGAAGGGCAGGGAGGATAACCCAGCTAGAAGGGAATCCAGGCCTAGCTTTCCACAGACGCTTTAGAGCTGCCAGGTCTTCGGGGTGGATGCGCAGCTCCCTCTGCCCAGGTGACGTGCCCATTCAGACGGCCTTCAGATGGGGCAGCGCGTGGCACTTAGCACCCCTTGCCATAGCAGCCACGGTGGCAGCATGGGGGGTTGGGTAGCCCGGCACTGGTACCCTCACAGGATGGCTCTTGGAAATCTGGCCTCATCTCATATTCCATCCCAGTGTCCCCGTAAGCGCATCCACCTCGGGTCTGGGAGGTGTTGGCACCATAAATGCTGCCCCAGCTGGAGGAGCACGGCCTTCTCAGCACATGGTCTGATGGGGTCTTGGGCTAGAGAAAGTTGCTGCTGTCCTGGAGAAAGTCCTAGAGGTTGTGTCAGGGATGACTGATGCCCCATCCCGACATGGCAGGGTGGGAGAAGGGAAGCCTTCTCCCGTTAGTCTTGACTAGAAAATTCAGCATGCTGGAGCTGGGTGGACCTTGCGGGAGACCTGGCCCCATTTTCTGGCCTGGAGGAAGCGTGTTCACATGGAGAAGGTGCCCCTTGCAGAAGTTCAGAATCTCCCCCGGGCATCTTCTTTCTCACATATGTGTGTAGGCTGTGTTGTGTGGTTTTCCTTTGGGAGGGAGGGAGGGAAAGTATTTGTAGCTTGTTTTATAAAAAATAAAAATGGGTAAACCTTGGTGGCTGTTGCTTCTTTCTTTCGGTGGCTTCCTCTGATGGAAAGGCTTCATTTCCTAGAAGGTTTAGTCATTTTCCCTGGCCTTAGGGCTCTCCACTCTGCTCCTAGGAAGTCCGAGTTGCTGTTCATGGCAGATCTAGCAGGGAACCCAGAAGTGGCCACCAGGTGGTGCTGCATTTTGTGTGAGGACACGGCTGACACTTTTGACCCTTGCCTGCAGTGTTTGTGCGCTCTCTGTAGTTCTCCTTCTTACCCCCCCCATACAGCTGCCCCACAGACCCCCATCCCTGATCCCTGCCCCCCAAACCATCACTAGGAAGTAGGGAATGTTGCTGGCAGAACTTTGGGGGCAGGGCTGGGGGGAGTAGATGCATTGGCCATAATCCAGATGACAAGACACTTTTGACCCTTGCCTGCAGTGTTTGTGCGCTCTCTGTAGTTCTCCTTCTTACCCCCCATGCAGCTGCCCCACAGACCCCCATCCCTGATCCCCGCCCCCCAAACCATCACTGGGAAGTAGGGAATGTTGCTGGCAGAACTTTGGGGGCAGGGCTGGGGGGAGTAGATGCATTGGCCATAATCCAGATGACAGGAGCCTAGGCTAGGATGCAGCCTTGGGTGCGGAGCAGACCCGGAGTGGGGTTCAGGCAGTCAGCACCCCAGTTTTGTGGGGTGCGTACTCAGGCTCAGGCTGCTGGTGTGGTTTGCAGAGCGGAAGGACTTCAGGATGGGGACTGGCAGCAGGCTTGAGGGCTCTAAATTTTCCTGGTGTGACTGGCATCTTTTCATTTTGCCCTCTCCACACACAGCTGTCCCTGGAAATGACCTTCCTGAGAACCTTCTCCAGATTCTTTCTGCCATCCTCTGCCCCCTTGCTCTTTGTAGGTGAACAGAAAGTAATCCCCCTTGCAATAATCTCCCCTGACTCTCCAGCTGAGTGTTCCTGGGAAAGGGTCTGAGCCCTTGAACGTGGTCACACAGGCCCCTCCCCATCCAGTGCTGGTCCTTCCTCACCCCCAGTCTCTCTCCAGCTTTAGAAGAGAAGACTGCCAGTTCATTGCACACTTACCAAGTGCCAGATGCTGCCTGCTATGTCTACAGGCCCTGTCATACGGAATACCAAAACCCAGTGATGCAGGTGTCATTGTCCCCATTTACCAAGTGTGGACTCAGACCCAGGAGGTCAGTGACTAGCTGGAGGCTGCACAGCTGGGAAAGGCAGACCAGGAGCCACCCTCAGATTTTCTAACTTTAGGCCTGCAGCTCTGCCTGCTCCCCACTGCCTTCCCAGAGGGGCTGGAACCGCAACCTTCTCCCTCCTGTCCAGCTCTGACCCCAGGGGTTGCATTCAGCTGTGAGTGTGTTTTTCCTCTGAGCAGTTAAGGGACTTATTAAAGTGATTATTTTACAGAGAGGAAAAAGAAAGAAAGAATGATTTGGGGGAGAGAACGGAGGAAGGCTTGCTCCTACAGCACCCCACTGGGAGTTTGGGGGTTGACCTTGCCTCCAGCAGAGAGAGCCAGCCTGGTATGGGGAGAGGCCAGATCTGAGCTCACATCCAGCTAGAGGACAAGCCTGCAGCCTCCTCCTGCCCTTCCTCTGCTTTCTCCAAGGACAGCAGGACCAAGAGTTGAGGAGAAGCACAAGATAAATCCATCCTGGTTTTTCCTGCACCATGAGGCTCCTGAGCCTTGCACAGCCTCTGTGGGGAGGGGAGGACTGGGGACATTTTCAGTCAGGATGTTGAGTGGTGACAGCTGCTGGGGCCAGGCATCTTTTTCAGGCCCCCTGTGATTCTGACCAAGGAGGGAGCCCCTGGCCAGTGCTTACCCCTGGTTCCCAAGGGGATCCAGGTGGGATGGGAGCTGGCAGCACCAACCCCCTTGTAGAAAAAAAACAAAACAAAACAGAGACAGCCAGGCTTGTTTATTCCCAAGTTCCTGGATGACCCATAAAGCCACAGGTGTGCCCACCAAGGAGGCTGAAGACCTTCCAGGTACCCTGACCTCCTGGTCTGTGGCATTTGGCTTTTTTCCACTGTACAGGTGGGGACAGGTGAAACGTGATCTTTTCATGGAGTGCCACCAAATGAAACCCTCAACTCTAGAGCCTGGATCACTGCTAGCCTGTGTGTGACTTTAACGAATTGATAAGGAGAAGGACCATGACATTGGCTGTACACCTGCCTGCTCTTACTAAATGCCTGTGCTAGTGTGTGACACAGGTATCTCTTGTTTCTTCTCAGATCTAGGCAGAGCATGTGGCCAGTTCATCTCCTCTTCTGTGCCACCCCCAGCCTCACAGATGCTGCCCGGCACCCTCTCCCCATACATGCAGCCCAGCGCCCTCTCCCCACAGGTGCAGCCCAGCACCCTCTCCCCATACGTGCAGCCCAGCGCCCTCTCCCCACAGGTGCAG